ACTAATTAGGTACCAGGGCGAAATACGGTTTTTATCTCCTGTTGGAAAAAAATACGTTTTTCTCTCTGGGTATGCAAATGCCATTGATTGAGACAGAACATCCAACTTCATTCAATTTGCAGTGAACAAGGTGCTGGACAGCAGTGTTGCTATAATGAACAAGGAAACTTGATGATTGGTCCAAAAATGGAGGGTCCCTGAAACGGGTTCATATTGGTGCTGGAGTGCCATTTCTCTCTCATTTCTTCCACGACTTGATGCCTTATTCAGACTGCTGTGTATTGTCTGAGAACTGTGGAAAGTACTTTGAGAAGAGACCATCAGATAACGGCATGAATTACGAGCCTCCACGGCCAGGTTGAATATCAGTAACTTTATGACTATCCTTTGTTTCAAATGGGTCTCCTTGTGAGCAAAACTGCTTTTTATTTTATCCATGCAAAGTGAGTTAATGGTGCGTCTTCTTGACAGATATATTGAAAGGAGACTTCGAAAACTAAGATAAATACTAAGCCCGCTAGTCAATTATACTTCGAAATGTACTGCTGCGACAGCTATTGGGATAAATTTAACTCATGTTTGTAATTCCTAAACCGAAAGAGCTGTGAACCTCTATGAAGGGCTTTATTATGGTCAACTGTCTGTTAAAATGGCCTGATTGTTAGGATTCTTGAGAAGTTTTGTCTTGGAAATTTGTTAAGAGGTCAGGAATATGGAATTGATGAGCGGATTTCAACTATTTTCATCACATTCGATTCCCCCGCCATTTTTTTCCTTTTACTTACTTGCCGTTTTCAAGTCTTTTTTTCCGCACATTTTTGTTTTTGATGTTTTGTATAATGTTATGATGATAATGTTGCCGAAACGTTCGCCGCAAATTTCATCTAGTTGTGGTTAAGTATTAGATTGAACTTAGAGGTAAAATTCAAAAAAATTATTTTTAACTGTTTTTTTCTGTAGCCACTGGAGTCGGCGAACCTCACATGGTTACTTTGGATGGAGTTGAATACACCTTTAATGGTTATGGCGAGTATCAAATTCTCCAGGTAGCACCTTCTGGGTTCAAGCTACAGGGAAGAATGCAGCCTTTGATCAATAGCTACGGCAGAAAGACTCTTGGTACAGTTTATAAGGCGTTTGCGATGAAGGAAAATGGCTCGGATATTGTTCAGGTAAACACTGACCAAACAGAAGCTAACCTTCGACTTTTCTATAGAAAAAAAGGGGGCTGTCAATTATTCAGAAAATACTTGTGACCGCGGTTTAAGCTTTCGCTGTGCGCAGTTTAAAAAGATTAAAAGAGAGAGAAGAATGTTCATTAACCAATGATTATAAAATGCAGCAGTTTATTTTTCGCCTTAACAGTTTTGCTCTCAGTTGTTATTGAACAGAGAGGAAAACGCGTGGCCGTTACTTTCTGAAGAAAATGTTTTGCCCTTAAAGGAAAAAGAGTAGTCGAAGTGCTGTGTTGGTCCTAAAGACCCCATCGTCTGCACTCTAGCTAAGCAGACTCTAAATAGAAATATCTATCGGCAACTTGAACTGAATTCTCTCTGATCAGGTTCACATCAACGGCCGCAATGAAGTTGACGTTCTGGTGAATGGAGCTTTGATGGAATTTGATGAGCGACTGCTAATGGATTTTAATGGCGTCACAGTTTTAAAATACAACAACTCCTATAAATATTCCACCATATTCAATTCTGGGATATCAGTTACAATCGAGAAGGCCGATGAACTTTTACAAATGATGCTACTGGTGCCACAGATGTATAAAGGTATGCCCCATCCTAAACATTCGTCTAAAGTGACATCCTGGAATTTATGATCACAACAGGTCGAGGCTGTTTCTCTTTGTTATAACAAATAATGATGAAATTAAATTCAGCGCTATCTGAATGATGCTGGCTTTTCTTGATAAGCTGGATAGCCTTCTTTATGAGAAGTATCTTTAGTAAAGCAATCAAGCGGCAACTGACAGGTAACGCCGGCAAACTGCAGCAAATTGGAAGGAAGAATTACTGTTTGATTATTCAACGCCAATTAAAAGGCAATCCTCAGTTTTAAATAACAAGTACGATGCGACAGTTTTTAATTCTTTGAAATTAACTCATGTGTTAATATGTCTATTTATTTCGCTTTTCTCTCCTTACTATGTCTGTTAAGGAAACACAAGTGGCCTTCTGGGATTCTGGGACGGGGACCAAGTAAAAGAATACCTGCTTCCTAACGGAACCTTCCTTGACACTAATTCAAACCAATCACGAATTCATTACGAATTTGGACAAAAGTGTAAGCTACTACGTATACACTTGAGACTATGCACTCAATGTTTATAGTAACCCTTGGTCACTTAGATATACAACCAGAAAGTTAATTAAGTACCTCCTGTAGAACTCAGGGTGACATGATGTTACTCTTTAGGAGGAAGTATTCATCTAACACTGTTTGACATGCTTTTGGCAGCTCTGATGGTTGCTTTCTAGCCTGTAAAAATCCAAGATTTCTTGAAGGAAAAGTCATGCCTTCAGTTTGATGATAAGTTGCATTTCCCTGGCCTCAAATGGTTTTTAAGCACAGGATTGAGGTTAAAACACTTTAAACTACTCTTGAGATATTTGTTAACCTTTTCAACCCTTTGGTGTTTCAAATATACTTCTTACGAACGTGACTAAGGTACGTAAATGTACTCAGCTTAGCCGTCAGTTAGGACTTGACCCTAGAAAATTGTTACCTTACCGTAATGTCATCCTCACAGGGGCTGTAACTGAAGAGGACTCATTATTCACATACGATTATGGCGAAAATCATACCACTTATGTCGATGTGGAGTACATACCGGTATTTTTCGATCAGGAATTGATTTTTGATGACGTAATCTTCGGTCAGAAGGCTCGAAATGTGTGCGGTAATAACAAGCAATGCCTGTTTGATATTTACACCACTGGAAAGATCAGCATTGGGATGAATTCTAAGAAGGCCTTGGAGTCGTTTGTTGCTGTCGTAAATGAGATAGAGACCCCAGGTTAGTGGCTCTTTTGTCAAGTGTAGATATTATGAGACATGATCGATGAAAAGCATTGCTGAAAAAAGAGGAGATGCATAATCCCTTGCCGAAGATTTTAAAACGCTGCGTTTTGCAACACAGTATTTCCAAATCGCTTATGATACTGTTACATGTTTTAAAATGTCAACTTCATAATTGGTAACTTTGTTGACCTTTACATTCAATTTTCAAACCAGTATATTACCGAATGATTGAGTTTCAGTGATGATCTACAAAATACTGGAACTGTTCTGGTGGTAATATTGTTAGGGACTTGTTGTGAACCGGCTCTTTGTCGTGCACAAATAACCTTGGGCTGGTTATATTGGTGACCTGTGATCAGTGACCAGCGAAAACGTGAGATCCAAACGTTAGCAGCGAGAGATGTGAATACTGAGAAAACTGACTAATTCTTCTCCGCGTGAGGTTTAATGCATGAAGGATAATTGTGCACCAGATAATTATTGCCGCAGTTTAAAAGTGCGTGGAAAAAAGACATGATCATCCAGACTTTCGTGGCTGCGGATTTTTCCTGAAGTTTGTCTTGATACTGAATAAGTAGCTAACAGATATTAAATTCTTGCAGGCTGTATACCAATGGAGAACGTACTTCGCAATGGTTTAATGCAAAGAAAGGATTCTAAAGATGGAGCCATGCTATTCAAGTTCCATTGTGACACAGGTTTCAGTCTCACAGGCCCTTCAGTTATTCGTTGTTATCAAGGACAGTGGAATGGCTCTAGACCAAGCTGCGAACCATCAGGTGAGCTCTAACTGGTGTAAATCAGTCGGGAGAACAGAACGCTATGAATACTGCAAATGCCGAAAGGCTCAGGAAGAAAGCATGAAAGCATCAGTTTTAATTTTATTTAAAAAATCAAATAATTTTTTTACCAGTATTATCTTTGAATTTAGTTGTTCTGCTCTTCAGGTACGAAGAGGAGCTGGAAACTGTGGTATGTCCTCGCTTCTGCCATAGCAGGGATCGTACTCATTGTAGTGGTTATTGTGGTCTTCTGTTGTATTAGACGGAGATGTAACAATTCTGACGCCAATGAAGGACGAGAAGCTTCACAAATTGGACAAAAGATCAACGCGGACTTAACTTTCAACAACCCGGCTTATGTATCATGCAACGATCTGAAATCAGCTTGACAATATGCTCTGCCTCGTATATCATCATATAATCAAAGGAGAGAGGCTTGGAAAGCCAGAACAATCATCAAAGAAATGGAAACAAGGAATAACGATGCTGAAGTTTAGGTTGGAAGCTCCCTAATCGAGATTAGTCTTTCGTCTTTTCACTATGACAGAATAAACTATTGCACATTTTGCACGGTCAGGTTAAGAACACCTTATAATAACCTTTAACAAAGAAATATGCTGGCTCTTCCAACCCTTTTTCCAGTCACGTCTACGTACTTAGATTGTAATTTAACATCAGCCCCTAACAAAAGTAATATAGTGTGAGTTGGCCAACTGACTGGAAATAGCACATTTATCACCTTTAAGTGAGGAAGGAACTAAACTTCTGTAGGCCACCATCACCTTTATTTGAAATTAACTTCATTTTTGGATTATTGTGTCGTCTCTAGGTCTTCTCTGGGTCTTCCATGTAGGAGGCACATATTTCCGTTTATTTTTCATTGTAGATAATGTAAAAGAAATAGGAAACATCTCTTTCCTTCAAATAACTAAGCAGATGATATAAAATGTCACCAAATACTTCCCACATGAAATAACTTGCACTTACAAAGTAGTTTGAACATGCAAATAAAAGGAGAAGGGCTGTAATCGTCATTTCTATACCTTAGTGTAGTGGTGTATCTTGCTATATTCGCAGTAATTTAATATGTTGCAATTATAAGATTTCCAAGCAGACGTTTTTGCCAACGATATCAAACATTTTGTAAAATGTGCGCTTCAGAACTTTGATTAAAACTCAATCGCAAATTAGATTTCATTCCTCACAATCACAACTGCATGAAATGTTTCGTTTAACTGTTTTCCGCTTGTTTGCGTCATCAGATTTAGCATATCAGGAAAATACACATGACACCAGAAGCCCATTAAGCTCCTGTTGACATCTATTATTGACATGAGAAAGGAACCCCACCCTACCTCACCTCAAATAAGAAATTTTTAATCCCATGATAGCTTCATTTTCATCAATTGACCGTGGCTAAAAAAATTGTTTTCTATCTTTTCATATCTTAAAATAAAATATACAGATCGCTCCCGAGAGAAGCGTCAACTCTCCAGAAAAAAAGAAAACGAATAATAGGCCAGATACAACTAAAGTGCCAGCATCGAGTATTGCATATCTCAGAAAACGGTTTACATTCACCCGGAAATCAGTTGCACAATGATTAGGCAGAAAATATATGACCGCGACAATTTCCGCTTTTCGTGAGTCTGTTCTAATCATAACTTACAAGGAAAAAAAGAGTTGAAAAAGTCACGGCGTTACTTAGGAGTTACTTCATGGGTGATCTTTAACTTGAGAGAATACTTATGTAACGATAGAATTTTTTAGTTATCGAGTTCTTTCATGCTTGTGCTTAAAAAATATAATATTCAACGTAGAAAGCTCAGTTCAGCAAAGCGTAAACGCTACCAGTTCTCCTTCAGTCACCCATAAACAGTTGCTATTAGTGTTAAAATGTAACAGCCACCTGTCATGTCCTTTTGCGTAGTTGTTATCCACCGGAACTCTTTGAAAGTAATTAATGTTGTAAAAGGCGAAATTCCTGCTTAGCCAATAGTGTAGTAGATTACATGACTCTTTAGATCCTAAGTATGTACGTTAGGTTTAAATAGAACTGTTTTGTAAAGCTTCAAAAAAAAAAAAAAAAAAAAAAAAAAAAAAAAAAAAGAGAAAAAGGGAGGAGAAGAGAGAAGAGAGAAAAGAAGAGGGGGGTCGAACCAGCCCTGGCCAGGTCCGTTCTGGTCAAAATTGAAGGAGAGCTTGCAGAATAAATCTACGTTGGAGCCAATCCTGTTGTTGTTAGTCATTCTCTCAAGGATAGTCAGCAGCCGTAATAGATTCCGGTTCCTTCCCGCAGCCAGCGAGTGCCCCAAAGGAAAGCCTTTACCCAGAAGGAGTTTTTAAGTGAAGTGAGATGATTAAGATGGATTCCTCTCGTTAGAGCATCTGCGGGGTTGTTGTTAGACTTGATGTAGCGTATTTGGTCTGCCCCAATCGTCTCTTGAATTTCAGCCACTCTGGCAGATACGAAAGGCCTGAATTCCCGTGGTGGCGTTCTGATCCAGGACAAAACGGTTGATGAACCGATCCAGAAGAATCTTTCCCAGTCCTGGGCTTTTGCGAACTCCAATGCTTTTACACATGTAACGTACATGCGTGCAAGTGCTAAACAGCCCAACAGTTCTAATCTCGGGATGCTCTTCTTCTTCAGAGGTGCGACGAAAGCCTTTATCGTGACTGGAACACTACGATAGTCTCCGCCAGCAAGTTTCCACCGCAGGAAGATGACCGCACCATAAGCCTGCTCACCACCATCGGAGAATCTGTGAATTTGAGGCACGCCCACTGCGTTGTTTGGTTTTAGCTTGCGGTCAAACTGAAATGACAGGAGATCATTTATGGACTGGACATTCTCTAACCATGTTTGCTGAATACTCTCGGGAAGGATGTCGTCCCAGCTGTAACCTGAACTCCATAATCCTTGCAGGTCAATTCTGAACTTGATTGCAACGGGCAGCACAAGACCGATGGGGTCCCATAACTGACCAACAAGACCTAAACAGCGCCTCTTTGTCAGGACATCCAGTTCTCCGAGGTCATTCTTTTTGAAGGTGAACGTGTCTAGCTGTTTATCCCAGCTTAGGCCGAGAAGATCCGTGAACCGTTCACCGTTGGATTGGTCGATTTCTGCCTCATTGGAATGCCAAGTTTTGATCTGGAAGTTGCCTTTCGCGAGGACAGCGTCGATGTGGCTGATAATCTGCTTTGCCTTGGTTACTGTTTCTCTGGAGCCACCGATGTCATCCACGTACACATGCTGTCGGATTTCTCCTGCAGCTTCCGGGAATTCTGCGTTCGAAAGCTTGGCTAGCGTGTTGATAGCATTAGTTGCGACGTCAGGGGCCGGTTTATCACCAAAGTTCAGTCTTAGCCACTGGTAAACAGTTGGTTTGTCACGTGTGTTGCTCCTCCAAAGAAACCTGTGGTACACCTGATCCTCAGGATGTACCAGGATTTGGTTGAACATTTTACGAACGTCACCAGTGAACGCCACTTCGTCCCATCGCCATGCTGCCAGTACATCCAGAAGACTATTGATGAAGTTAGGTCCTTTCTCAAGGTAATCGTTGAGGGACAATCCATCATGACCTTTTGAAGATGAATCAAAGACTAGTCGAACTTTTGTGGTTCTTTCTGGCGTAAACACTGCTTGCAATGGGAGGTACCATTCGGGTTTATCATGAGCAATTTGTTCAGGTGGAATCATTGTGATAAAGTTCTGGTCTAACAACTTTTGCACTTCCTCTTTTACGACCTCGAAGCAACCCTTTTTCATAAACCCCCTTTCAGCGGAGAGCATCCTCTTCAGAGCGATGTCGTAGTTGCTTCGTTTTGGAGGCCCTCCTTCTTTCCAGGGCATCTTCACTTGTATTCTCCCGTCGACCAAGGTAGTTGAAGCTGCGAGGGACTTCACGAACTTGCTCTCACGTAACACGTTTTCAGTGCAAGTACAGAGTTTGGTTGGTTTGACTCCAAGGAGGTCTTGGTGCAGAAGTTTCTTGATATCTTCCTCGACACTCACTGTCCCTACTTCTATTGACTGAATTTCAGAGAGTGGAGCCGCTTGACTCGAACTGTCCCAGAACGTACCATCCAAAACAGTTTCTTTTCCCGATGGGCTCTCCAGGTTCTCCGGACACTGTGTGAATATCAATGAAGGCCTCTACGAAGTCTGTGCCAATAAGGAGATCTATGGCACCACCCGAGAGATGTATTTTATCGGAAACGTTCTTCAAATGGCTGTATTGTCTCACTGACTCCTTAGAAATTGTTTTGGCACTACTGCAAGGTCTAGTTACGGTATACACTTGAAGGGTCTTCGTAATATCCTCGTCAGAGGGCGAGGCAACCGTGACATCGATTATCTCAGAAGGTTCGCTTTTCTTCTTTCCACCCGCCAGATTCATAGTGAGACGTGTTGCTGCTCCATTTAAGCCAAGTCGACCAGCTGCACTTTTGGAGAGTAGGCTTGTGTTAGACCCGGAGTCCAACATGGCGAGAACTTCGACAAAGTTTTCATTTTTGTCCATGACTTTAACTTTTTGCACAGGGCAAAGTCCAGTAACAGGTTTCAACTTGCTTTTCTGGTACACAGCATTCCCCTGGATGTTACCATTCGATGTAGGTGTGGGCCCTTGGAACTGACTTTGAAACGGTGGTGCTTTGGGATTCAAACTTGTGTTAGTTTCTCCAGTCTTCTCATTATGTAGGCACCGGTGATGGTTTTTTCTGCATTTGTCGCAGGTTGAGCCGTCTGGTTTCTTGCAATCGTTTGTGTGATGCGCTCTCAGACACTTGCGACATCGCCAATGTTGCTTTACAACCTCCCACCTTTGATTGACTGTTAGAATCTGAAACTTAGGACATGCAGCCAGGTGATGTTTGGTCTTACAGCCAAGAGGAAATGTTTCATCGTCAGAATCCTCGCTGTTAGCGGCGTTATTTTCTGTCTTTTTGGGACTTTTGTCTCGGCGAATTTCGTTTCTTTCCACTGTGTTGGTGTTCGCTTTCCCTCGGGAACGAATACTCGCTTCTTGATGTAACCAGGTGATTAGATTGCTCACGGTTTCTTCTTTTCCTTCTCTTTTCATTTCTCTACCAAAATCTGAATTGTCACTTGGATCGAGTTTGGACAGAAGCTGGGACATGAGGAACGACGCTTCAACTGACTCCAGCACAGGGCACCCAATATTATCTTCCATGTCACTTACATAACAGGCTATTGTCGTAGCGAAATGCGTTAGGGACTTAGAATCTCGTTTGACTGCTTTAAGATTATTAATCTCGGTGTGCAGTTCGTCCATTTATTTTCGTCTGTCTGCGAACTCTGTATCCAAAATGATCCACGCGCTGTCAATGGTTTTACAAGTTTTTACTTGGTCGGTCCAGAACGATCCTTTTGGCATTGCATTTCGAAAACGTTGCAATTGTTCATCTTTATCCTGACCGTATTTCTTCATCCAATGGCTGAACTCCTTTTTCCACGTGGCATAGGTTCTGCGAGTTCCGTCCCATACTGGTACAGGTAATCGTTGTAAACTTGAGTTTGACGGTTTTGATCCGATGTTATCGGCCATTTTCTGCACCGCCGACGTCATGGACGACATTGATAATGTTAGCGCTTCCAGAGTTGTCGCATTGTTAGAATTTTCTGAGGAGTTTTGTTCCTTTTGATATGCAGCAAACTTTAAAGTGATTTGAAGGAAATCAGCTTTGGTTTTGTCTCCAGCTTTCTTTGTTGCTAACACGAGTTCGTCTTCTGGGCCAGTGCCTTCGTCGACCAGTCTATCCAGAATTGTTTCCTGCTGTTTCTTGACCAGCCTGTACTTGGTTTCTACTAAACTGAATGCTGCTTCAAGTGTTTTTAGTTCCGGTTTTACGGAGAAAATTGTTTCGAATTCTTCCATTAATTCGTACAAGAGTTTGACGGCATTGTCCAGTTTTCCCGCGAGAGTTTTCACGTCTACCTTCGGCGGCAGTGTGAGCGGAATTTAAATGCGAAGCTTGGCGGTAGTTAGTAACTCGGCGTAATCTTCTGCAACAAATTTTGACTGATTCGCTCCTGTGATTGAAGGGCTACTTTACGATGAAGATTTCACCACTAACTGATTTTTGCGTACATGACCGTACATGGAATTTATTTGCACTTGTAGTAATATAGTCAACTGAAAAATTAAATTAATATGACAAAGAAGGTTATTACACATGTCGATTTCGGTTGAAGCGACGGGAAAAATATTATACTTACAATTTGTGTTCCATATGCGGCTAGTAAGCTTCGAAGTGCGATCTGTGGTGACACTTTTGAAATGTAAGTTGCGTAACGAACTTCTAGGTTTTTAAATAATTAGTCACCTGATCTATTTTTGCCGCGTTGCGCAAAGATAATTAAATATTCACAAAAAAATGACAAACGGCTTGAGAAATGCAAATCAAGTTGACCCCGTCCGTCCGTTTATTTGTGAAGGCAAAACCTTGTTTTCACACTTATTGAGTGCAGCATATGCATTTCCATTATCGGAAGTTTAAGATAACCTTTGACTTGAGTGTATTAAGCATGTGACGGGCCTAATCACGAGCAATTCAGATGACACATTCCTTTATTAGCACAGAGAATGAAGACTATGGAAGTTGAGAAAATTATCGTGCTCTTGTGTAACCATTTCATTTTTTTATCGAATGCTATTGTGCTTCCCAATTTCTATCCTTTTGGAGTGAGCGATGGAGACCAGCTTGTTCCGACAAATGACGACGGGAGCTCTGGGACGATACCGATATCAATTCAGTTTCCTTTCTACGATAGGAATCACAATTCGCTGTTTGTAAGTATGCTCATTGTTTTTTATTGCAAAAATCTGAATATGTTCCTGCTTGATACAGGCACATTGAAAACGGGGCATCTCTCAATGCAAACATTACTATAAGTGGCGTCCAGACTAATTGTCTTGAAGCCTTACAGTTAGTCTTACTATGAAATGGTTCAGGTATGTGATGAAATGCTTGGTGTAAGTAGTCAGAAATGTCGAAGTAGGTTCAGTCAACCAACTCGGTAGGACGCTGTATTTCTGAACAGGATTTTTCAGCTTGAACGGTCGTTGCCGTAAGTTCATTAAAAAAGGAGGTAGACTTCGTTCACAATTGCGTGTTTGTTTATACGGCATTGTTGTGGGGGGAGGGGGGGGGACGTTTAATCTATCTTGCGTTCAAAGAATCATAATTCGCAATGTAACATTGTTGAACAACAATAAAATTTTAACAACGTTGAATAAAGGGGTAAGTTTCTAAAGAAACTGTGGTGCTGCGTCGATGGGAGAGTATAACAGTGTAATTCAATACTATCAACGGAGTTTATCACGTAAATTGCCAACCATAAAGAGTTTAAAAGCTGACGTTTCGAGCGCTAGCCGTTTGTCAGAGCGAATGGAGGAATTGTGGGTTTTGTGTGTGTGTTTATAGGCAGCGTTGGTCTAGTTCATAAAAAAATTCAAGTACGAAAATACTGAAAATAGAAAAATGATTAAACGGAAATCACCAGACCGGAAATTCTTTGAATAACTTACGAAACAGAATAAAATGATTACGCTGCATAGCCTCTTTTCCAAATCAACCGTTACCTTTATTTTTAAGGCATGAATCTTCAAAGCGATGACACAAGCAAAAAATAAGTTTTCATATGACATGATCATTTAAACTTCAAGAGACGTGTTTATGCTCCAGAAACCAAATAACTTGTGTTTGCTCCTCGACCCACTGCAAGGAGCATCAATTAAGATATATATCTGACAGCGTCTTGACATTTCAAAGAGTACTTCGACCCTTCTAAGATTGCTCTCCAATATGCTAAAAATTCGCCAACTGAGTTAATTTGAACTTTTTGAGCAGGGAGACTGGAAGATTAATCCTCGTCCCGCCTATAAAGTAACCTTTTATAAACGTTTTATCGAAGACGTCAAAAACAACAATCCGCGTTTAATTTTTTCGTTTATTTCAAATGATCTCCCAAACTTCCTCCTGTCTAAGGCACCATCAGGGAACCCTAAGTGTCAAGGCCTCACTTTAATTTTTAAATAATTAATTATCCAAAAATTGATACTATTGAAGGACAGGTTTCAGAGTTATACACATATCAACAGCAGTTTCTTAATAATGACTAAACGGATGTTATCCATCACCAGACGAACTACAGTTGGACTTGCTGTCATCCTTTATCTTTTCCTACCTTGACACTTGTCCTGTTCCGCTGCTGGCCACCAAAGCGGTATCAAAGAAAAGTTGACGATTCCATTAGTTTAGCCGTAGAATACGGGTTTAATTTATCATTTCAGGTCAACACCAACGGGGTGATTTCTTTCCTGGTCCAAGTTTCACAATATACCCCGGATCCATTTCCTCTGGGAGATAGTCGTCGACTGGTGGCTCCATTTTGGGCTGATGTTGATACACGTAATGGAGGACAAGTGTTCTACCGAGAGACCACAGATACGCAACTGCTTAAACGAGCTACTAATGATGTTACAGCCACCTTTGTAGATCACAGAAAATTCAAAGCCACTTGGCTATTCGTGGCGACGTGGTATGAAGTCGCTTTCTATGGTGCTGGGAATTTCTCACCTAAGGTAAGGCTTAATTTAACAATTATTCACCGCAGCAATTGCACTAAAAACCATTGTCCTGTAAGGAAAATGATACCAGGATCAAGAGAGACAAATAGTGATATTAATGGCAATGTTAATGTGTGCCCCTATGTGTGGATCATTACAACTCCCCTATATATGGAATGCTGATCCATCGTAGGCATCTACTCCAGACCCTCGTTAGGCTTCTCCTAAAGTTTGCTAGTACTGTCAGTATGAGCATATTGTCTGTCTACACTGTCTCAGCTAGGGCTCGACTCTATGGTCTACCTCGATCTCTAGTGCTACTCCTGCACGTCAATCATCAGGCCACTGCGTCTCAAACAAACAAACTCCTGGAAAACCAATGCTCCCCGAAGCATTGTAGGAACTTTGATTGTCGAACAAAAATTTGCGTTTGCCGTAGAGCCATTCATTAAAGGTTGTACTCCCCCCACCCCGAGGGTTGTCCAATACACCCAATAAAACTGCTACGATTCGTCAAAGGCAGTTTGTGAACCGTTCTACCAGAAGTTAATTCGCAGTTGATGCGTCTCGTTATAACGGAAATCTGATAAACCTTCTTTGATTAGATGGAAACGCATATCGGAAGTCAATTTGCAAGACTCTTAGAAAACATATCGCAAGCAACTGTCAAGGGTTGTTGAAAATGTTGTCGAATCGAACGGTTCCCTTCAGTTAAAGTCGACCCGTCATACCAGAAGTAGATTTGCAGGACACTTTAAAAATATTCCGCAAGTAGCTAATAAATGGGGTTGAAGATGTTGTCGAATCGACACGAATCGAACGACTCGTCTCAGTTAAAGTCGACCCGTAACGCCGGAAGTCGATTTGCAAGACACCTAGAAAGTATTCCGCAAATAGAACAAACTCTCTGTTTCACGGAGAAAAGTGTCGACTAACGGATCCAAACCGACCAATCACGACTGACTTACGCCACTTGAGTCTTACAGCCAATAACATCACAGCAAAACTGACCAACCAGTGTACACAAACCGGGCTAAGTACATTCGACTGACAACAGCCTTTCACTTGACTCTGATGATGACTTCCGCTCAGGTTGTCGAAACGTCAGTCACCACTACCGACAACAGTCCTTCTCAGGACTACACTCACCCGGACGATCAAACTACACTATTACAAAAGAAAACATTGTATATTTTTAATGCGCTGACCTGCAATTTTCAATTTTCCTTTAGAGAAACACTTTCCAGGCGATTTTGATAACAAACGGACGGCACTCTTTTGTAATTTATAATTATAACAAAATCACCTGGACTACTGGCACAGCAAGCTCAGGAGACAAGAGCGGGCTTGGAGGTACCCAGGCACAAGTAAGATTGTAGTGTCTTCTGTTAACTAAAAAATTTAGTAAGTAACGCAGGTTTAATCAGTTTGCCTTCAAAATCCTGGAAACTTAACCAACCTTCAAGGCCAACTGAGATTAAGAGATAATAATTCTATTCAAAGAAGAAATGTTAAGTACCAGGAAAATTCATTATCGGGCGCCTAAAAATCTCTGATTTTGAGTGGGTCAGTTGTTATAATTGGTCTTGGCTCTTCCTTCCACTGTATTAATCATGGAGAAAAAATAAGATGGGGTTAGAGGTTAGAGCTCTCCAAAGGTATTAGATGATTTGCGTCCACTTCTTCCTGAGCTGCTACACCCCTGCCGTAGTGATGAAACTCTGAGCAGCTTTAGTAGCGTGTTATCCTTAAGACACACATAAAAATAGCCATTTTATGCCGGCTTCAGGAAAAGAAGATAATTGGTTGCATTTACCGATGTGTGCGTCATAGGTAATCTTTTCGCATCAGGAGTGTATTTCACTGGAGGTAAACAGAGGTGGTAGCAAATGAAGTATAATACTACCATGCGAATACCATGCTGTCATAAAGTGAAGATCCTTCCAATTATCACCTTCCATTTCTTCGAATAGTGGATTTTGATTCTTTTCAACCGTCGCTTCATTTTTCGCTGACAGGCAGGCTTCAATGCTGGTGACGGCAAACGCTTTTACACTATCCCAGGGTCTGGCACTCATGACGTTATCAATATTTTTAAAACGTCCAATGTGGCAAGGCCCGGTCGATGGATATTCCGTATTGATAACGCGAGGATCGTGGAAGGTGGTTGCAACACGAAAGGTGAGAGTTGGAGGCCTTTTTTTCCTGTAAGGATATAACATTCACCAATTGAAGGGTGCTAATTTCTAAAATGGGATAATTCGAATTATCAAAGCGAATGACGAAGGGCGAACGCTCGAAACGCCAGCTTTGTTACTCTTTACGGTGGTCAATTTACATTATCAACTCAGTTGATTACGCAAATCATCTTAGTGCACTCCCCCATCGACGCAGCACATAGTTTCTTTAGAAACTTTAACTCTTTATTCATTTAAAAATGAGTTTGGTGTTTGTTTATGCTGCGCACCTGATTCACACAAACGAAGGCGTTTTTCGTCAAATTTTTGTTGGCACTAGCGTAGAACTAAACATCAAGATTGTATTTTTAGCGCTACAGTATGTTCTCGACTAAAACAGCGTTTGAGGGTTGTTTTGATGTTCCTCGATTGTGCGTCACAAGTAGCTGCATCTTTTTTCTGATAGTTTTTTTATGGCATGATGATGAGATGATAACGAAGACGAAGATCAAGATGATGAAGAAGACGACGAAAATGATGACAAAGACGATGACAATAACTGTAATGATAAAGATGTATATTTTTTTAAAATCTTTTTAAAGGATCAATTGTTATTTCACCGGGCTACGCAATCATGCTAGGAGGTGATAACCTTTTCGTGTCTGGACCCTGCTTCAAGTCATCAGATGACATCATATGTGAATTTTCTGGCGGCAAAGCAATCAACGGAAGTTTTATCAGTCCCATTCAGGCATCTTGCACTGTGCCAATGCTTTATTCGACCGGCAGGTTGACAATGAAAATGTCAGTAAATGGAGGAAGGAGTTTCGACTACCAAGGCATCATCACCATTGGTAAGATTAGACTTTGGAAAGTTGTGGAAAAGCCTAGTCTCTCACACTGCATAAAAGACTACTTCGCTAAGGCTCTTAGTCTATTAGTTGAGCCGGGTGTTGCCGGTGGGTAAAAGTTTCTCCCTTCGACAGGCTAGGTTTTAAGTGAAATATGCCGTATAAAACTATCTCATTTGTGGAAAAAAAGTAAGTCTTGGGAGATTTTTGGTTAAGCTTATGCCTACAACTGTTTCTTTAGTATATCTGAAAATGGCAACATTTGATAAACTCAAGTACCATATCTCCAACTGTACCCCTTAGAGGGTCTCTAAAATGTTAAAGGCGTGTCAATCTTGGAGCATTACAATGAGTTCATGTGATTCAGAATTTTCAGTAGCGACGTGTCCCTACCAAACACCTCGTCTGATTCAGGTAAATGTATATAGTTTTTTTATTGATTCTTGCTTCTCGCCAGTTAACATTGCCAAATTCAAGCCAGCTGTCGTACGGTATAAGGTAAAGAGGTGGTATGAAAAAAGTCATATCTGTATTACATGGGATCCAGCTTACCTCGGAGGCGACAATCAGAGAGTAACAGTTCAACTGGCTCGTTTTTCCATGAAGGGCGACGGACAGGTGGTTTTTCATAGCACATTCAATGTAGTGGCAGGTCAGCAAAATGACGGAAATAGTCAGTTCGTTGTGCCAAAAGGAGTAGATCAAGGGTAAGAAGCCATGATTGCTTTCATTTTCAATCAAAGTAAACTCAGTCTGCAGCAAATTCAAACTCATCGAAATGACCATGAATCATTGAATCATAAAAGACCTCCTCATTAAATCATTTCAAAGCTTACGGTGGATCGTCAACGATGGAAAAGCTTGAATTTTTCCTATTATGAGTCTCGGTAAGTATCTAGTTGATCGAGAAATGATTATGTAAAATTAATTGTTTGCTGCGTTATCGAATACTTTGTTATCGAAGCTAACGAAACTTTTCTCTTCAAATCACAAAGGCAAAAAAGTACACTGTTTAGTCGAAAGTACACGAGCCTTCTTGATGAGAACCTTTTAAAAACTTTTTTACGTTCACAAACCTTTAGAGCAATAGGTGGGGATGACCGCTTTGTCACACTGGTTCTAGTAAAAAGGATTGTTAGCAGCTTCGGCAGTTCCCCGGCCGAATGGATCTGGAGCGATCCATTCCACTGGTTGAACTACGAGATGGCTGAGCAGAGATGTGTGCAGTGGTATAACAAGCAGCCTGATCCAAAGATATACACAGGTAAATCACAAAATAGCCCATTTATTATTTTAACGAGATCCCGAGAAGCAAGGCAGATAACACTTAGTTGAGAGCTACCAGTAACTGCAAACACAAATCTCAATTGGCCGAGATTACAACGCTACGAAAATATCAACAAAAACTCTAAAATAAATGAGACAGCAGTACCACAGGATAAGTCTTAGAGGACAGGTCTTTCATAGCAATGTTTTAGGCAGACCTAATTAATGGTATTCCTTGTTCACAGATGACATCTCCCTCCTTTCCTGCCCGCAAACGTTTCTTCAAGCAATGGCGGACCGCGGTCGATTTATGTTAGACGAATACTGTAATCCAAATGCTGAGCAACATTTTGCTTTATACTGTAAGGAGGCTACGCATTGCTTTAGCACAATCAATCCAAGGTGAATATGTATCTTTGATACAAAAGAACTTAGTAACTGAACTTGAAAACATGCTTAACGTACAGCAATGAGTGTACGTCAGCAGAATGAGTCACTTACTCTGTGAAAAAAAAAAAAAAAAAAAAAAAAACAGTTTAGTCCATAATCATCAGGCTCGCATACTTCAAGTTGTTGCTTACTTATTGCCCAGGTGGGAGGGTCGGACGGAATTTATTAAAAAGAAGCAAAGATCTTCTCGTCCTTTCCAACCCACCTCGGTCAACTAGCATGTTTCCTTATGATCGCCGTTCCTTCTCCTTCTTCCATTCTTGTGGCAGTTTCCATCTCACGGGGCCGTAAAGCTTTTTCACGCCTTGTTCTCGCCGTCGTGTTCGGCTCTTTCACGAAGATATCTCTTATGTTTGTCCATAAAAGCCCGCGCTTGTTCATATGATCGGAACGGGGTTCTTCAAATGATTCCATGGGTAGTATTCAAAGGTTGTATATTAACCTAGCTTAGCAAACTGGCTGAGCGTTTCCTATAACTAATTAGGTACCAGGGCGAAATAAATACGGTTTCCATCTCCTGTTGAAAGAACTTACACTTTTCTCTCTGGGTATGCAAATGCCATTGATTAAATCAGAGCATTCAACTTCATTCAATTTGCAGTGAACAAGGTGCTGGACAGCAGTGTTGCTATAATGAACAAGGAAACTTGATGATTGGTCCAAAAAATGGGGGATCCCTGAGTCGGGTTCATATGAGTGCTGGAGTGCCATTTCTCTCTCATTTCTTCCACGACCTGATGCCTTATTCAGACTGTTGTGTATTGTCTGAGAACTGTGGAAAGTACTTTGAGAAGAGACCATCAGATAACGGCATGAAGTACGAGCCTCCACGGCCAGGTTGGATATCAGTAATTTTATGACTATCCTTTGTTTCAAATGGGTCTCCTTGTGAGTAAAACTGCTTTTCATTTTATCCACGCAAAGTGAGTTAATGACGCGTATTCTTGACAGATATATTGAAAGGAGACTCCGAAAGCTGAGATAAATACTAAGCCCGCTAATCAATTATACTTCGAAATGTACTGCTGCGACAGCTATTGGGATAAATTTAGCTGGAATTACTAGTGTTTGTAATTCCTAAACCGAAAGAGCTGTGAACCTCTGTGAAGTGCTTTATTGTGGTCAACTGTCTGTTGAAATGGCCTGATTCTTAGGATTTTTGAGAAGTTTCGCCTTGGCAATTTGTTAAGAGGTCAAGGAACCAATTCAACTATTTCCATCACATTCGATCCTCCCGCCATTTTTTCTTTTACTTACATGCAGTTTTCAAGTCTTTTTTTTGCACATTTTTGTTTTGGATGTTTTGTATGATGTTATGATGATAATGTTGCCAAAACTTTCGGCGCAAATTTCATCTAGTTGTGGTTAAGTATTAGATTAAACCTAGAGGTAAAATTAAATGATTGTGCTCACTTTCATTTTTAACTGATTTTTTTCTGTAGCCACTGGAATCGGCGATCCTCACATGGTTACTTTGGATGGAGTTGAATACACCTTTAATGGTTATGGCGAGTATCACATTCTCCAGGTAGCACCTTCTGGGTTCAAGCTACAGGGAAGAATGCAGCCTTTGATCAATAGTTACGGCAGAAAGACTCATGGTACAGTTTACAAGGCGTTTGCGATGAAGGAAAATGGCTCGGATATTGTACAGGTAAACACCGGCCAAACAGAAACTAACCTTCGACTTTTCTTTAGAAAAAAGGGGGGGCTGTTCATTATTCAGAAAACACTTGTGACCGCAGTTTAAGCTTTCCCTGTGCGCAGTTTAAAAAGGATTAAAAAAGAGGAAAGAATGTTCATTAACTAATGATTATGAAATGCAGCTGGTTTTTTTGCCTTAACACTTTTTCTCTCAGTTGTTTTATAACAAAGAGGAAAACTCGTGGCCGTCACTTTCTGAACAAAATGTTTTGCCCTTAAAGGAAAAAGAGTGGTCGGAAGGCAAGTGCAACTTCTTCCTCTGACATTTGACCGCGAACTCAAAGATCTTGTTTTTTTTACAAATGTCGGAATGGTTTTACTGATCTTAATGTTTATGATTTTGTTACTCCTGTTTCTCACGGCCGAACCAGACTAAATAATTCTTATAACCTTAAAACTCCTGTATGTAAAACTAGCACTTTTCAGGCCTCTTACTTTAATCGTATTGTTAAGCTCTGGAACTATATCTGTAAATTTTCACCCCTACCAGTTTTTCAACTACTGCTTCCTTCCGCAACTTTGTTACTGAGCACATGTTTCACCTTTTGCACAATCACTTTGACATATCCTATCCCTGTACCTGGTCAATTGTACGATCCTGCCCCTGCCATCCCTAGTTTTTTTAGCGTCTTTTAAATTTGGCGTCTTTTGGTTGATCGTGTTTCAATTAGTATTTGTACCATGGGAGGTGCCTCGCATGGGTCCTCGCGTCCCGTTCGCACCTTCCCTTTTGACCTTATCACTTTAAATCACCTTGCACATATGTTTCATTTTTTTTCTTGGCTGTTTAATTTGCTGTATGTAACATGTGTAATGGTCAACAAAGCTGTTAAAAAAAAAAAAAAAAAAAGTGCTGTGTTGGTCCCAAAGACTCTAAATAGAAATATCTATCGTCGACTTGAACTGAATTCCCTCTTATCAGGTTCACATGAACGGCCGCAGTGAAGTTGACGTTCTGGTGAATGGAGCTTTGATAGAATCTGATGAGCGACTGCTGGTGGATTTTAATGGCGTCACAGTTTTAAAATACAATAACTCTTATAAATATTCCACCATATTCAACTCTGGCATATCAGTTACAATCGAGAAGGCCGATGAACTTTTACAAATGATGCTGCTGGTGCCACAGATGTATAAAGGTATGCCCCATCCTGAACATTCGTCTGAAGTGACATCCTGGAATTCATGATCACAACAGGTCGAGGCTGTTTCTCTTTGTCATAAAAATAATGATGAAATTAAATTCAGCGCTATCTGAATGATGCTGGCTTTTCTTGATAAGCTGGATAGCCTTCTTTATGAGAAGTATATTTATTTCTTTATTTCTTTATTGTGTTTATGTTTGTTAAGGAAACACAAGTGGCCTTCTGGGATTCTGGGACGGGGACCAAGTAAAAGAATACCTGCTTCCTAACGGAACCTTCCTTGACACTAATTCAAACCAATCACGAATTCATTACGAATTTGGACAAAAATGTAAGCTACTACGCTTGAGACCATACGCTGAATATTTACAGTAATCCTTGTTCACTTAGATATTCAACCAGAACGTTAATTAGGTACCTCCTGTAGAACTCAGATGGTAACATAACGTTACTCTTTAGGGGGAGGTATTCATCTAACGCTGTTTGACATACTTATGGCAGCTCTGATGGTTGCTTTCCAGCCGGTAAAAATCCAGGATTTCTGGAAGGAAAAGTCATGCCTTCAGTTTGATGATAAGCTGCATTTCCCTGGCCTAAAATGGTTTTTAAGCACAGGATTCAGGTTGAAATACTTTAAGCTACTCTTGAGATATTTGTGAACCTTTTCAACCCTTTGGTGTTTTAAATGTACTTCTTACAAACGTGACCAAGTTACATGAATGCAGTGAAAATGCGCTCAGCTTAGCCTTCAGTTAAGGCCTGACCCTAGAAAATTGTTCTGTTGGTCATCCTTACCGTAATGTCATCCTCACAGGGGCTGTAACTGAAGAGGACTCATTATTCACATATTATGGCGAAAATCATACCTCCTATGTCGATGTGGGATACATACCGGTGTTTTTCGATCAGGATTTGATTTTTGATGACGTAATCTTCGGTCAGAAGGCTCGAAATGTGTGCGGTAGTAACAAGGAATGCCTGTTTGATATTTACACCACTGGAAAGATCAGCATTGGGATGAATTCTAAGAAGGCCTTGGAGTCGTTTGCTGTGGTCGTAAATGAAGTAGAGACCCCAGGTTAGTGGCTCTTTTGTCAAGTGTGCATATTATGGGACATGATCGATGAAAAGTATTGCTGAAAAAAGAGGAGATGCATACTCCCTTGCTGAAAATTTTAAAACGCTGCGTTTTGCAAGATTGCAAAATTGCTTATGATACTGTTACATGTTTTAAAATGTCAACTTCATAATTGGTAACTTTGTTGACCTTTACATTCAATTTTCAAACCAGTATATTACCGAATGATTGAGTTTCAGTGATGATCTTCAAAATACTGGAACTGTTCTGGTGGTAATACTGTTAGGGACTTGTTGTGAACCGGCTCTTTGTCGTGCACAAATAACCTTGGGCTGGTTATATTGGTGACCTGTGATCAGTGACCAGCGAAAACGTGAGATCCAAACGTTAGCAGCGAGAGATGTGAATACCGGGAAAACTAACTAATTCTTCTCCGCGTGAGGTTTTATGCATGAAGGATAGTTGCGCACCAGATAATTATTGCCGCAGTTTAAAAGTGCGTGGAAAAAAAACATGATCAGCCAGAGGTTCGTGGCTGCGAATTTTTCCTGGAGTTTGTCTTGATACTGAATAAGTAGCTAACAGATATTAAATTCTTGCAGGCTGTATACCAATGGAGAACGTACTTCGCAATGGTTTAATGCAAAGAAAGGATTCTAAAGATGGAGCCATGCTATTCAAGTTCCATTGTGACACAGGTTTCAGTCTCACAGGCCCTTCAGTTATTCGTTGTTATCAAGGACAGTGGAATGGCTCTAAACCAAGCTGTGAACCATCAGGTGAGCTTTAACTAGTTTAAAGCAGTCGGGAGAACAGAACGCTATGAATACTGCAAATGCCGAAAGGCTCAGAAAGAAAGCATGAAAGCATCAGTATTAATTTTATTTTTAAAAAATCAAAGAATTTTTGTATCAGTATTATCTTTGAATTTAGTTGTTCTGCTCTTCAGGTACGAAGAGGAGCCGGAAACTGTGGTATGTCCTCGCTTCTGCCATAGCAGGGATCGTACTCATTGCAGTGGTTATTATGGTCTTCTGTTGTATTAGACGGAGATGTAACAATTCTGACGCCAATGAAGGACGAGAAGCTTCACAAATTGGACAAAAGATCAACGCGGACTTAAGTTTAAACAACCCGGCTTATGTATCATGCAACGATCTGAAATCAGCTTGACAATATGCTCTGCCTCGTATATCATCATATAATAAAAGGAGAGAGGCTTGGAAAGGCAGAACAATCATCAAAGAAATGGAAACAAGGAATAACGATGCTGAAGTTTAGGTTGGGAGCTCCCTAATCGAGATTAGTCTTTCGTCTTTTCACTGACGGAATAAACTATTGCACATTTTGCACGGTCAGGTTAAGAAAACCTTATAATAACCTTTAACAAAGAAATATGCTGGCTCTTCCAACCCTTTTTCCAGTCACGTCTACGTACTTAGATTGTAATTTAACATCAGCCCCTAACAAAAGTAATATAGTGTGAGTTGGCCAACTGACTGGAAATAGCACATTTATCACCTTTAAGTGAGGAAGGAACTAAACTTCTGTAGGCCACCATCACCTTTATTTGAAATTAACTTCATTTTTGGATTATTGTGTCGTCTCTAGGTCTTCTCTGGGTCTTCCATGTAGGAGGCACATATTTCCGTTTATTTTTCATTGTAGATAATGGAAAAGAAATAGGAAACATCTCTTTCCTTCAAATAACTAAGCAGATGATATAAAATGTTAGATACCTCAAATTATCGAAACGTTAGTCACTACTACCGACAACAGTTCTTCTCAGAACTACACTCACCCGGACGATCAGACTACACTATGACATGTTACCCCCGGGTTCAAACCATTTACGGTGATTCATCTTATCGATGGAAGAATCATTTGTTTTCAGACAAGTGGTAGATATAAATATACCAACAGTTTTAGGGATAGGGGGAGGGTGGGGGTGTTCTAAACCCCTTGAATCCCCTCCCTGGATCAGCTGCCGAGGTACATTTCATAATCTGACCAATCACCAAATACTTCCCACATGAAATAACTTGCACTTACAAAGTAGTTTGAACATGCAAATAAAAGGAGAAGAGCTGTAAACGTCATTTCTATGCCTTAGTGTAGTGGTGCATCTTGCTATATTGGCAGTAATTTAATATGTTGCAATTATAAGATTTCTAAGCAGACATTTTTGCCAACGATATAAAACATTTCGTAGAATGTGCGCTTCAGAACTTTGATTTTAACTCAATCGCAAGTTAGATTTCATTCCTCACAATCACAACTGCATGAAATGTTTCGTTCAACTGTTTTCCGCTTGTTTGCGTCATCAGATTTAGCATATCAGGAAAATATACTTAACACCAGAAGCCATTAAGCTCCTGTTGACATCTATTATTGACATGAATATTATATTAATATATATATTTTCATCAATTGACTGTGGCAAAAAAAAAAAACTGTTTTTCTATCTTTTCATATCTTAAAATAAAATGTACAGAACGCCCCGGAGACAAACGTCAACTCTCCAGAAACAAAGATAACGAATAATCGACCGGATAAAACTAAAGTGCCAGCATCGAGTATCGCATATCTCAGAAAACGGTTTACATTCACCCGGAAATCAGTTGCACAATGATCAGGTAGAAAATATATGACCGTGACAATTTCCGCTTTTCATGAGTATGTTCTAATCGCAGCTTACAAGGAAAAAAGAGTTGACAAAGGCACGGCGGTACTCAGGAGTTACCTTATGGGTGATCTTCAACTTGAGAGAATACTTATGTAACGATAGAATTTTTTAGTTATCGAGTTCTTTCATGCTTGTGCTTAAAAAATATAATATTCAACGTAGAAAGCTCAGTTCAGCAAAGCGTAAACGCTACCAGTTCTCCTTCAGTCACCCATAAACAGTTGTTATTAGTGTTAAAATGTAACAGCCACCTGTCATGTCCTTTTGCGTAGTTGTTATCCACCGGAACTCTTTGAAAGTAATTAATGTTGTAAAAGGCGAAATTCCTGCTTAGCCAATAGTGTAGTAGATTACATGACTCTTTAGATCCTAAGTATGTACGTTAGGTTTAAATAGAACTGTTTTGTAAAGCTTCAAAAAAAAAAAAAAAAAAAAAAAAAAAAAAAAAAAAAGAGAAAAAGGGAGGAGAAGAGAGAAGAGAGAAAAGAAGAGGGGGGGTCGAACCAGCCCTGGCCAGGTCCGTTCTGGTCAAAATTGTAGGAGAGCTTGCAGAATAAATCTACGTTGGAGCCAATCCTGTTGTTGTTAGTCATTCTCTCAAGGATAGTCAGCAGCCGTAATAGATTCCGGTTCCTTCCCGCAGCCAGCGAGTGCCCCCAAGGAAAGCCTTTACCCAGAAGGAGTTTTTAAGTGAAGTGAGATGATTAAGATGGATTCCTCTCGTTAGAGCATCTGCGGGGTTGTTGTTAGACTTGATGTAGCGTATTTGGTCTGCCCCAATCGTCTCTTGAATTTCAGCCACTCTGGCAGATACGAAAGGCCTGAATTCCCGTGGTGGCGTTCTGATCCAGGACAAAACGGTTGATGAATCGATCCAGAAGAATCTTTCCCAGTCCTGGGCTTTTGCGAACTCCAATGCTTTTACACATGTAACGTACATGCGTGCAAGTGCTAAACAGCCCAACAGTTCTAATCTCGGGATGCTCTTCTTCTTCAGAGGTGCGACGAAAGCCTTTATCGTGACTGGAACACTACGATAGTCTCCGCCAGCAAGTTTCCACCGCAGGAAGATGACCGCACCATAAGCCTGCTCACCACCATCGGAGAATCTGTGAATTTGCGGTCAAACTGAAATGACAGGAGATCATTTATGGACTGGACATTCTCTAACCATGTTTGCTGAATACTCTCGGGAAGGATGTCGTCCCAGCTGTAACCTGAACTCCATAATCCTTGCAGGTCAATTCTGAACTTGATTGCAACGGGCAGCACAAGACCGATGGGGTCCCATAACTGACCAACAAGACCTAAACAGCGCCTCTTTGTCAGGACATCCAGTTCTCCGAGGTCATTCTTTTTGAAGGTGAACGTGTCTAGCTGTTTATCCCAGCTTAGGCCGAGAAGATCCGTGAACCGTTCACCGTTGGATTGGTCGATTTCTGCCTCATTGGAATGCCAAGTTTTGATCTGGAAGTTGCCTTTCGCGAGGACAGCGTCGATGTGGCTGATAATCTGCTTTGCCTTGGTTACTGTTTCTCTGGAGCCACCGATGTCATCCACGTACACATGCTGTCGGATTTCTCCTGCAGCTTCCGGGAATTCTGCGTTCGAAAGCTTGGCTAGCGTGTTGATAGCATTAGTTGCGACGTCAGGGGCCGGTTTATCACCAAAGTTCAGTCTTAGCCACTGGTAAACAGTTGGTTTGTCACGTGTGTTGCTCCTCCAAAGAAACCTGTGGTACACCTGATCCTCAGGATGTACCAGGATTTGGTTGAACATTTTACGAACGTCACCAGTGAACGCCACTTCGTCCCATCGCCATGCTGCCAGTACATCCAGAAGACTATTGATGAAGTTAGGTCCTTTCTCAAGGTAATCGTTGAGGGACAATCCATCATGACCTTTTGAAGATGAATCAAAGACTAGTCGAACTTTTGTGGTTCTTTCTGGCGTAAACACTGCTTGCAATGGGAGGTACCATTCGGGTTTATCATGAGCAATTTGTTCAGGTGGAATCATTGTGATAAAGTTCTGGTCTAACAACTTTTGCACTTCCTCTTTTACGACCTCGAAGCATCCCTTTTTATAAACCCCCTTTCAGCGGAGAGCATCCTCTTCAGAGCGATGTCGTAGTTGCTTCGTTTTGGAGGCCCTCCTTCTTTCCAGGGCATCTTCACTTGTATTCTCCCGTCGACCAAGGTAGTTGAAGCTGCGAGGGACTTCACGAACTTGCTCTCACGTAACACGTTTTCAGTGCAAGTACAGAGTTTGGTTGGTTTGACTCCAAGGAGGTCTTGGTGCAGAAGTTTCTTGATATCTTCCTCGACACTCACTGTCCCTACTTCTATTGACTGAATTTCAGATAGAGTGGAGCCGCTTGACTCGAACTGTCCCAGAACGTACCATCCAAAACAGTTTCTTTTCCCGATGGGCTCTCCAGGTTCTCCGGACACTGTGTGAATATCAATGAAGGCCTCTACGAAGTCTGTGCCAATAAGGAGATCTATGGCACCACCCGAGAGATGTATTTTATCGGAAACGTTCTTCAAATGGCTGTATTGTCTCACTGACTCCTTAGAAATTGTTTTGGCACTACTGCAAGGTCTAGTTACGGTATACACTTGAAGGGTCTTCGTAATATCCTCGTCAGAGGGCGAGGCAACCGTGACATCGATTATCTCAGAAGGTTCGCTTTTCTTCTTTCCACCCGCCAGATTCATAGTGAGACGTGTTGCTGCTCCATTTAAGCCAAGTCGACCAGCTGCACTTTTGGAGAGTAGGCTTGTGTTAGACCCGGAGTCCAACATGGCGAGAACTTCGACAAAGTTTTCATTTTTGTCCATGACTTTAACTTTTTGCACAGGGCAAAGTCCAGTAACAGGTTTCAACTTGCTTTTCTGGTACACAGCATTCCCCTGGATGTTACCATTCGATGTAGGTGTGGGCCCTTGGAACTGACTTTGAAACGGTGGTGCTTTGGGATTCAAACTTGTGTTAGTTTCTCCAGTCTTCTCATTATGTAGGCACCGGTGATGGTTTTTTCTGCATTTGTCGCAGGTTGAGCCGTCTGGTTTCTTGCAATCGTTTGTGTGATGCGCTCTCAGACACTTGCGACATCGCCAATGTTGCTTTACAACCTCCCACCTTTGATTGACTGTTAGAATCTGAAACTTAGGACATGCAGCCAGGTGATGTTTGGTCTTACAGCCAAGAGGACATGTTTCATCGTCAGAATCCTCGCTGTTAGCGGCGTTATTTTCTGTCTTTTTGGGACTTTTGTCTCGGCGAATTTCGTTTCTTTCCACTGTGTTGGTGTTCGCTTTCCCTCGGGAACGAATACTCGCTTCTTGATGTAACCAGGTGATTAGATTGCTCACGGTTTCTTCTTTTCCTTCTCTTTTCATTTCTCTACCAAAATCTGAATTGTCACTTGGATCGAGTTTGGACAGAAGCTGGGACATGAGGAACGACGCTTCAACTGACTCCAGCACAGGGCA